TCTGAGAAGGAGGCTCGTCCTCGAGCTGAAAATAAAATTAGGTGCAAGACAAACGAACAACATAGTGTTGTCGATCATGTGGTTACCCTACGAGTTATTCTTATACACTATGATAATTACTATTGATCTCGTAACATGGTGAGGCTAGTTCTACGAGTTATACAATTATTCTCTAATTGAATGAAATGAAATTACACCGAAATGGGGCATGATAGAGCTTATCACATTTCAGGTTAAAGATGGTGTGTTGCAGTTAAAATCTACGATAACAACAATACCAAACCGAGTTATCTAACTACTTTCGGGCTGGTATATGAACGATGATAAGTGTATCAGTCTACATATATTGGGGTGTGACTGATAAACGAACATGATTGAAATACTATGGGCGAATACTAGTCTTATTGAGAGCGACTAGTATAAGGGCGTATATTATTACTATTATTATTTTTTTTTTGAAAGGTGGGGAAAACGCTGCTTGTGTGCTCTTTGAACCGCCTATTCAAAGAGTTTCAAAAGGATTGCGTTGAAAATTGAGAAAATGAATTCAAACTGACCCTTGGAAGCTGCTTGTTTTGGTTAACAGGTTCCTGTCAACTTTACCTGTTTACAGATTATTGGCGTTATTGCGTCTTTTCTCTTGAAGACGGTTCGAACGCCTGATCGGTGACTGTTCTCTAACAGCTGGTGCTTCCTCGATTGCTGGCTCCGTCGGTTGATTTGGTGCATCAGATATGGAAGTATTGGCTGATTTAGAACGTGCAGAGTAAAGTTTGAGACGGTCAATATGAACAAGTTGTCGCTTTTGGCGACCTACAAGGTTAGTAATTGTGATGTTAGGACGGTCGATTATTTCGACCACGAAAGGGCCTTTCCATCGGTTTGTCAGTTTTGGACGAACGGTGTCGTCGTGCAAAAGTACTAAATCGCCTATGGAAATGTCCTTGGTGTATACCTTGTTCTGAAGATCATAACCTGTCTTGTATTGTGCTGTTTTGGTCGCGATTTCGTTTCCCACCGTTATGATGATGTTTTGCAGACCGACTGCAAACTGGTCTGCAAAGTCATCCGAAGCAAACACTGGACGTGGAGGAAGTTCATGGAGGATATCGCTCCAAGTGATAGGGCACCTGCCGTGTACTACGAAGAATGGGCTGTATCCTGTAGTTGTATTGATACTGGAATTGTAAGCAAATACGACTGGTTGTAGGAAATCAGACCACAATTCTCTAGCATTGGAACAGTATGCTGTCAGTGAATCAGTGACGACTTTAACTAATCGTTCTACTTGTCCGTTAGCTTTGTGATTATAACTGGTAGTAAAGTTGTTTGATATTCCCAGTGTTTTATTGATCTTTGCAAAAATTTCACTAGTGTAATTCGAACCACGGTCCGAGACCAGTTCTCTCGGTATACCATGTTTCGATATGAGGTCATTAATCAATGCTTTGATTACTGACTCAGTTGTTTGGTCTACTAGTGGTGTGCAAACTATGAATTTGCTAAACGCGCACACTGACATAGATATGAATTTACTTCCATCCGTGCA